TAGATCAACATAACAAAAAAATTAGACCGAAATAATTTCGAATAATTGATAGAGCCGTGAATTTCAAATCCAAAATTTTTAAATAAAAAATATGACTGAAGAAGAAAGGAGCAGAGAACAGAAGAGAAGGAAAAGGAGAAGAGGAAAGAAGAAGAAGAAGAAATACTTACCTGGAGAAATGTCGACTTGAGCAGTGGAGAGGGAAGCGAAGATGACCTGCGGACATGGGAGGCTGCTATGCGTCGCCGGTGTAAATCGTTAGTTAGCCTGGCATGGTTTTTAATTGGGGGTAGTTTTGTCAGATCAACTCTTTTTAGTCCTATTTTTGATAAATAAAACCCAGTAGTCCTATTTTTAAAATTTCAGTTTGATTTAGTCCTATTTCGACAATTCTCTCTTTATATATTAACCGGATCTTATGTCAATTTGTCGTGAATATGTAGTCTGTTTGAGTATCTATGTACTCATTGCGAGAAGCGCATTCAGAAAATCTAAGTTTGGTTGAGATGAAGTAGAGCTGCATAAAAAACAGGTTCCGGGAGGGTTTGGGTCGAGCTTTTTATAAATTTTCTACCCATCATGTGTGGGTGGGACCGGCCCACAAAAACGGGCCTAACCCCATGTCCATTCCTGCCCGTATGAGCAGGCCGGGTAGTCCACCGGGCCCGCCCGACCCGGGAAAACTTTAAAATTTTCAAAAATATATGATTTTTTTAATACTTTAAAAATAATGTTACAACATTAAAAAAATTATTAATGCGCTAATAATGTTTATAGGTCTTTCACCACATACAAAAAAAGTACTTGCACAAAAATAATAATGAGAAACTATATCTAAAATTTAAAATTCAAGGACAAAGTATTATCTTTATTAAGTACAAAAATAGATATTATATTGGTTGGGCTATTTGTTAAGAACTAAATAAATAAACTAGTATATACATGTGTGCATGTAAATAAATAAATAAATAAATAAATTAGTGTATATATATATATATATATATATATATATATATATATATATATATATATATGCTAAATGTAGCGGGCCGGACTTATCAGCCCGAACGGCCTACACCCTACTCAAGCACACCCATATCTTATTGCGGACCAGGTCAGGTCCAGCCCGGTGGGTAAATATATATGCCCAAGCCCGCCTATTTGTGCGGGCGGGCCGGGCAGGTCGGCTCGATTTTGCGCAAGTCTAAGATGAAGAGTGATTAGACTAGAAATCTATTAGAAGACGGTGATTTATAATGAATAATTACACTATAGACAATTTACAAAAAGACAAAAAATTTTCTTTTGAGCTTCGAGCCTCAAACCAAACTTAAAGTTAATCACATCCAAGCAAACAACGACTCATTGATCATATGATGGGCTTAACTAAGTCAATGAAGGACGAAACATTCCTCCCATCATCCAACCTAAATTATAAAGTTCTGCTAGTAAAAAAAAGAACGAACCCAAAACAACAACCAGGCGGGCATGGTAGTCAAGACATTCATCCTCCCTGATGGGCCATTCTTTCATCCACTTGACCCTCTTTCTACCGCTCCTCCCACATGCACCTCCTCTTTTGGTCTTCCGGGCGGCTCTCAGTACTGGTTATCGCTATGACTCCTGCCTAGACCTCCCCAGTTTATGTTACTATCATGCTCCATCCCTGGCTCCCCTTTCTCATTCGTCCGGACTCCCCAAACTCTTGGCTCTGTCCATATTCAGGTTGGAATTAGCTCGTTCATGTCAATGAAGCCTCTTCTTGAACAAGCCATTTATGATGCAATGTGGGGCGGGGTTTAATTTCCACCCCGCTCTAAGTCATGTTTCAAAAGATATGTCTAGAGCCTTATCTCTTTTCTCATATTCCGAAGGGCAAAATTTATCTGCATGGCCAATATAACTTCACACACACAAAGCAATTAGGCAGCTCTTCAAACTTGAAATCCACCTGGCAACCCTCTCCTTTTCCTTTCCTAATTGTTGCACCAGCCTTTAGGGGTTTGCCTACATCCAATCGGATTTTGATACACATACAAACATCCCACTTACCTTCAAACTAATTCTCAGCAAATTTTATATAACTTCTCAAATAATTTCCAATTCTTTTAGCTATTTCTAAGGCCGTAAAGCCACACAACATGTTATGCACCTGAATCCAGAAGTCAGTCAAATTCAAAGGAACCCTAAAGAGGATATTCTCTGGCTTAATCACTTTTAATATACCAACATGATTTTTCTCAAACAACCACATGCCATTTTCTATAACATGACTCATATCAACAATGAGATAAAGAGTCAAAAGATACATTTGATCACCGATTTCTTTGATTGAAACTCCCCTACCAGGGTGCCATATTGCAACCATTAGACCTCTGAAAATATGAAATTTCACCATCTTACCGGTGATAAGAGTGCCAACCACCAGAAAAACCATTGGGTTGTTGTCCTCCCTATCACTGATTCATCCTTCTTCAAGAACCGGCTCTTCCACCTCCCTTACTATCTCCAGATTGTTGTATCTATTGACTATATGCTCCATTGGACAATTGATTGGTCAAAACAGAAAAACCCCCGCACGATCCCTCTCTGAAAACACTTCGTTGGGCACCTCACACCCTAAGCCATCTACCTGCCTATATTACTAGACACAAATGCTAAAGGTACCCTAAAATGTACCCCATTTTTACCCTCACCCTCTAATGTGTGGCCATAAATGGGACAATTCAATTAAGTGGGCCGTCTTGGTGCAATACATGTGTTTCTACCCCCAAAATGTACCCAAATTTTACTCCCTCCGATTTTCATGTGTTTCTTTTTTGTTTCTAATCACCCTTATCACCGGAAAGTCCACCAGAAAAGTGATTTTAGTGAAATCTTTTTTAAAAAAAATTCCAAACAGATTTGAAAAATCGAAAGACGAAGGTGGTGTGGAGGTCATCTTGACGAGGCGCACCTTCCGATATTTTTCTTTTAATTCTCTAGGCACTTTGAAAATCGGAGTTACTATTAATCGTCTTTCTCATACGATTTTAACGGCGTGACCCTCTTGTGATAACGGAATTCAAACACATGAACCGCTTTGATAAAAAATGAAACACATGATCCTATCGGAAAATGAGCCCAACTACAAATTAAATATCTTTTCCGCACTTTTCCCAAAAAGATACTCCCTCCATCCCATAAAATTCTTCCAATTTTTCTTTTTGGGTCGTCCCAAAAAATTCTTCTCACTTACCATTTATGGACAATTTATGTGACTCACCTCCTTAATATGCTTGCCAAGTGAATGTGGAAAGAATTTTATGGTACGGAGGAAGTATTAAACATCATGTTGTCCTGAATCCTAAGCTTGAGGTCATTATAGTCCTAATGTAGATCTTTCCCTACTCATTTACTCGATCATTTCATCTATTTACATATCCCTAGTTATCATAAAAAATTACCATGTCTAGCCTGTCAATATTTATAAATAGTGGGGATTTTCTTAAAGTAGGAGTAAGACCAAAGTGAGTTATCTAAATAGAAGTCCAATACTTTTTTTCTAAAATAAGAGTATAGAGTACTGCAGTGTTAAAACCATACACATATTATGCATGTCATTACTATATACTCCGTATATTACTTTTATTTAGGGAAAAGATGTAATACTGATATGGAAGGAACTCATACTGCTTCTACTCCTGTATAGGTATGGAAGGAACTCATACTGCTTCTACTCCTATATAGGGTAATTTTGCATCTATTATCATCAATTTAGTTTAATTTTGAAAATTTCACATGAATACACTACTACATTTTTAGACATAATGTAACATTAATAATGTAACAAATATATAATAGTGTTACCTATTTCTCTAATGTAACACTTTTTAGATCTAGTGTAACACTTTCTAGAAGTATAAGTGTTACATTAGGTACTATAAAGTGTTACAATAGGTCAAATGCAACACTAGCAAATGTAATGGTAAAAAAATGTTACATTTTCTCTAATGTAACACTTTTCTCTAATGCAACACTTTTCGGAGAAAATGTATAGGTATGGAAGGAACTCATACTGCTTCTACTCCTATATAGGGTAATTTTGCATCTATTATCATCAATTTAGTTTAATTTTGAAAATTTCACATGAATACACTACTACATTTTTAGACCTAATGTAACATTAATAATGTAACATATCTATAATAGTGTTACCTATTTCTCTAATGCAACACTTTTTAGACCTAGTGTAACACTTTCTAGAAGTATAAGTGTTACATTAGGTACTATAAAGTGTTACAATAGGTCAAATGCAACACCACCAAATGTAATGGTAAAAAAATGTTACATTTTCTCCGAAAAGTGTTGCATTAGAGAAAAGTGTTACATTAGAGAAAATGTAACATTTTTTTACCATTACATTTGCTGGTGTTGCATTTGACCTATTGTAACACTTTATAGTACCTAATGTAACACTTATACTTCTAGAAAGTGTTACACTAGGTCTAAAAAGTGTTACATTAGAGAAATATAGGTAACACTATTATAGATATGTTACATCTCTAATGTTACATTAGGTCTAAAAATGTAGTAGTGATATTTATTATATACGTAGTTTATATGATTAATTATTCACATATTCATTACATATTGTCTTAAGAAACAATATATATGTAATGAAATGTAGTACTCCCTCCAACCCTGATTAAATTTCAAATTTTAAAATAAACTTTCAATTTCTCTTTTGGTAAACATATCTTAGTTCTCGCGCCAAATATACTACTCCCTCCGGTTCTTATTAAAGTTCCCAGTTTGACTTCACACATATTAAGAAAATGAATTTGACTAAACTGTGGAGTGCATTGTTTGACACTGTTTGGCACTGTTTGGACACTGTTTGGCACTGTTTGACACTGTTTTGCATTGTTTTGTTTCCTAAAATGGAAGTGTGAACTTAAACAAGGGACATCTCAAAAAAGAAAGTGAGAACTTTAATAAGAACCGGAGGGAGTATGAAAGTTAATTTAGGGACGGAGGGAGTACTCCGTATTATTTAAGCACATAGTACTCTACATCTTAAGAAAAACCTCTAATTATATACGGTGTAATTATTATACTACACAAAATGAAGAAGCTGTAACTACACGCTTATGATTATATATAACAAAAAAATAAAGATGACTGGCTGATACAAAAGTTCAATACAAATAATCAACTTGTTTAATATTTTCCCGTATCTTTTGATTAATAAATTTTGTTCATTAGACTCTTGATCTCTAATTAATTTAACCCGCCAAATCGTGAAGCAACTGTGCACCAATCAGGTTCCTGTATGGCAAATTCTGACCTTCGTTGTCCAAAAGCGGATAAGGGCCTGTTTGGCAATCCTCAATTTGGTCTCTAGGGTAGAAGAGTGATGAAGAAGGCCCGTCCAAACTCATCCCGCCCCCACCCTGCTGTTGCAACCCCAAAGTCAACGACACGCCTCCGCCGACGCCCGCCACCGCATAGTCAAAAGCGCCGCCGCCGGAGTCGTGGGCGGCGGCGTAGGGTGAGGATGAGAAGTCCTCGACCAAACCCGGCCCGAAAAATGAGCGGTGGTCCCCACCTCTCGTTCCAAAGATCTGATGACGATCCTGGCTGTTTGGTCGTCGTTGACCGTCAGCCTTGTTGTTGTCGTTATTGAAGGTGACGTCATTAGGGTTGTTATTGACGACGGAGGAGATATCTATACGTACGAGGTTGGGCTTGTGATCCTCCGCGTCGGCCGCCGCGTTAGTGTTGTGATGCGGATGAAGCAGGCGGCCGTCGGAATCTCCGATGTAGTCATCCGATGAAATGGCGGGAACAAGATTCTCTTCTTCTTTGGTTTCTTCTAGATACATCTCCTCAACCATGGGTTTCCATAGCCTCACCCTTGCATTGATGAACCAATTAGAAACCTACATATATGCATGGTATGAGGAATAATTATATGTTGTTGGTTTCTCTTTCAATTTCAAATTGAAAATTGTATTTATTTATTTTTTTGAAAGAGAAAATTGTATTTACTAATCATTAGAAAGAGAATTTTCTAAATAAGGGTAAAACATTAAGGAAAATTTCCGAAATAGTGTAAAAACGTTTTGAAATTTCAAAATAGGACTACCACATTTTATTCTCTAAACAAAAGTAATTACTGTCAAGTTTGAAAATTATTGACATATTTAAAGTCTGATAATGCTAAAATATGACAGTAATTACTCATATTTCGAGAATAAAAATATGATGGTTCAATTTTAGAAATCCAGAATATTTTTCTCCTATTTAGAACAATTTCCCAAAATGTTGCCATTTTTTTCATTCAAGGTGTATTATATATTTTTTCTCAAATAGGACTCATCTATCCACCATATTTATAGAAGTTTTAATTCTTTTTTTAAATAATATTAAGTAAGTTCTATTTTAGAAGAAAACACATTGGGTTCTATTTTAAAACTTTTGTGTGCTGTAATCTTATTTTTGAGCAATTTGTATTACAGAAAGTACCTTAAGTAAGAGTAAAACATAGATAGAATACAAAAAAAACGTTTTTGTTCTTCCTAAAATATGACTTATTCACAACTAACTACAAAAACTTATATTTTTCATATAATCAAATAAGTATTAGTTTATGAATAAAACATAGCACTTTGTGGGAAAATGTTATGTTAATTTTAGATTCCAAAACAGAGGGGAAAATATAAGCTAAAAAGATGTCTTAGCTTGACAATTAGGTTAGAAATGTAGTGAACACATTTGAGACGATTTTTTAACAAATTTGAGATGATTCTTGGAGTAGATAGAAGTATTTTTGAAAAAAATCAAATAAAATAAGTGCGTACGTTTATCGAAATAAATGTTACTTATTAAATATAAAATCAATAATTGTTAATTCTTACATACTTACAAACACTTTTGTCAACTCCTTAAGGACCAAACGAATGCCTAAAATCAACAATTGCTCGTTTTTACATACTTAATTAGTTTAAAAGCACTTTTTTCAACACTTGAAGGTACCATTAATTATGGAGCGAATCTAAGACTAAGCATTATTAGAAAATGAGATTTATACACATTAATATATACTTGTATACATATAGGGTCAAGACTCAAGACGAGTCACCATACCAACCATTTTATGAGAAATCATGTCACAAAAAACCCGTGTTTATGTGAAGAAATTTATGTGAAAAGACATTGGGTTTTACGTCTAAGTACTCCGTATAAGTTAGTGTTTTGTATGAATGTCTATATTATGTAAACCAAAACTAATACCCCCGTTCCACAATACTTTGTCATGTTTGACCGACATGTGAAATAGTAAAGTAAAAATTGTGTGATTGAGATATGTGCAAAGGAGGGAGAAATAACAGGAATAGCAAATTCATTGATTAAAAAGAAAAGTGACAAAGTTTTTGGGACATCCAAAAAGGGAAAGATGAAAAATTTATAAGGGACGAATGAAGTATTTGGGACAAACAACGTTAGTCACTTTTATTGTTGAATTTATTGAAGTCATGGTAGAGAAACATTGTACTACCTCCGTTCCCATTTTAACTTCCAAATGAGTTTGGTACAAAGTTTAAGATAGTGGATATTGTGTGGTGGAGAGTTGTGCAGAGGAGAGAGAAATGTTGTGAACCACAAATTCTTTACCAAAAAGGGAAAGTGGAAGTTTTAATTGGAACAGACGAAAAAGAAAAATTGGAAGTTTATTTAGGAACGGAGGGAGTAACTATTTTTCCATATTGATTTTTTATTAAAAATGTATATTTTAAATATAATTTATTCATATTTTAGCGATTCAATCAATTCAATCGTTTTAATCAAAATTTTGTCAATTTCGATAGTTTCATCACCAAATTTCATAGTCACTAAACGGTACTACGTATTAGACTATTAGCAGAATGTGTGAATGACTTTTAATTTGTGTTTGTAAAATGAAACGATTCACCAATGTGTATAATTTTGTTGTTATTTATTTTAGTAACTTCTTTTAAATGCGCGTGATTCTTTTTTACTGTTGAGATTCTTCTTAGTGCCAAAATCATTGCCCTGCTGAAAAAGTGAACTGGCTTGTGGTAAAGAAAAGAACGTGCCTGGCTTCTGGAGAGACCTGTTTGGCGGGCTAAAATATGTTTATCCACATCACTTGGGTACCTGCAAAAAAGTTTCCCATAAAAAACCAAAAGTACTTTGAGAGTTAATGTTTTTTCCGTGGCAACCTGTCTCATCACATAGTACAACTACCTTTGTTTTTGTGTAGTGATATATAGGGAAATGATTTGGAGAAGGGTTCAGAATTACCCCTATGTTCTTCCTCAATTTAAACTATCTTTTCTCACCCTTTACCTACTTATAAGTTACAAATATAACTATAGTCTCTCCTTTCAATGTGTCTAACGCATGGGTAGGGGCCAACGGAAAGAGGCACCAAAGTTGTTATGCCCTCTCTAAAAAATTCTTGGAACATTTTTAGGTATGTGTTTAGATTATAGGAGACCACACAAATTAGATTTGAACGAATCAAATCAGATTAGACCAAGTTAAGCGGGTCCAATTTGATTTACATTCAACCTCATGATAGAATTTAGGGCAATCATATCATTAAAAATGTGGGCCTCGGATTATTTCTTCCGAATTATGTCGCAACCCTTAATTAAAATCATGTAAATCTCCAATTATTTTTGCATATGAACGTCCCGGATTAACAACTTCAGACACCTTTGATTCTTAAGTTCAACATAGTTAGAAGCTATGAGGGTGTTTGGATTTACATCTTAAAACTACTTGTATCATTTATGGAGCAAAAACAGATATTAAAATGTCTGAGTGAAAGTCGAAAAGTACTTCTGAGTGTTTCAAATTGCTCATAGAAAGAATTTTTTAAAAGTTGAGAGACTAACTAATGAAAAATTGATTCTAGTTCTATTTTTAAAAGAAGTAAAACAAAATCAATTTCAAAACTAACGAGAAAATGGTGATAAGGATATGATGTCATTGGCACAATTTTATAAGAGGAGGACCACTAGACCACAAGTGATTGATGCATGGGACCAGTATATTAAGGCAAAAAAGTTCCTTAGAAATTAATTTTCAAAAACATATTAGATAGATTTAGCATGAAGAGAGAAACAATATGACAGTGAAGATTAGAGATACATTGGAATCTCAGAGTTTTTCACAGACAAAACAAATAAGTTTTCCCGTTGATCAAAAGATGTGTCTCATTATATATATATTCTTCAACAATGATTGATCGAAACATATTGTACGTCCCACCGCCCGCATAATACGCACCAAAACTTAACGTCAAATAATTGAAGGATTATTTTGCCCATAAGGCCACAAAATAAAACAAAATAAATTTGATCTTATGTTTGGACTGACGCACGTATTATTTCTGAACAAATATTTTCTGGTTAATTGTTGACATTTTGGTGGACAAACGTTTTGATAGTATTTATCCCACCAAACTATAAGTCAAATTGAATTATTTTTATCAATAATTGTAAGTAAAGTATATGTATATGAAACTTTTATACTTTAATTTGAAAGTGTCTTTTATAGAGAGAAATTCCATATAATTTTTATTTTTAAATAATTTTGTATTAAAAAAATCACTGGTCAAATTTGACCATATTTGATATAAAAAAATAAAAAAGATCAAGTTTTAATTTGTGTGACAGAAGGAATAAATACACTCAATTTTTTTAAAACAACATTTTTGTACAATTAAATGCAAAAGTATAAAGCTACGGCAAATACGGAGTATAACCTTATGTCCAAATATCCCATGTGTATATGTTCTCTCACACATAATCTTGAAATATATGAATTTATATTATATACTACATGTACTATATTGTAAATGTGAATTTACACATGTACTATTTTCTAGTACATATTTAAAATATATTTCCTCCAACTTCTATTTATGTTTAATTGTTCACAGCAAAATGATGCATATTCAATGTATATTTGTAGCTAGGTTCCTCCTTTATTAACAAGTAAATTTAAAATGTAAGGTTACATGAAAATACCTGAAAGTAACCAGTATGCATCTTATTCAGTGATTTAAGATAATGATTACTGTGTTGTAGAGAGTATTGTGTTGTAGAGAGTTATGTAAAAAAAGAGAAATATATAAGACTATATAAGAATTGGTATCAAGAAAAAAGGGAAAATGAAAAATTTATTTTGAGACTACAAAAAAAGAAAATTGAAAGTTTTTAATAAGAGGGAGGGAGTAATAATTAAGTGAGTAATTATTCGCACTGTGCACTAACTATAAGGGCACTAGGTCAAAGGAAAAATACGTACGGGTGAAGGAAGTGCTCGAAAAGCCAAGCTCGGAGAACGGAAACAGATCTTTCCGGCAAGCCACGTTGGGGCCGCCATGGATGAGCCTCCATCATGCTCATCTGCTGAAAGGACCTTTGCTGCCGGAGTGCTTGATCCAGGATTTTCAGCCTCGGCGTCTCTCCCTTGGTCGTGCCGGCGGCCGCCGTAGCCGCGGCGGCAGAGTCCTTTTCGCCCATGGCCTTCTTGATCGCCTTCAACTGGGTCACGATTCCATCTCTGAGGCATCTAAAGTGCCTCGACATCGCCTTGGCCGCTAAGGCGGTGTATCCTTTTGCCGCCCCGTCACCGGCCACCGCCTCCAACGACGACACGACGGCTTTCATTTCTTCGCAATACTGCTGGTATCGTCTATCAACCTAAATAAGCAACCACACCAAATTAACTACAACAAATTAACTAGTAATTAAAACTCAAATGACTTGAATAAAAGTACAGTAAAAATTAATAATAATAATCCTTGCAATAATAATAATAATAAATAATAATAATAATAACAACAACAATAATAATAAAAATGATGACCATAATTATTATAATAATTAAATAGATCAGTCCCACTAATTGACTCATAACACTTTTTTTATTAGATCCCTATAAGTTTTTATACGCCTACAAATTTATGATATTAGTACGTTTTTGGTTGATCTAGCCTCCACTCTATTCAGAAACAAAGTGCAACGCTTTTATCACTCGTTTGGAAATTTCTACGTTTACTTTTTATGATTCTTTAAAGTTTAAAGGCTAATAATTGAGTTAATTAAGCTGAAGCCAAACTAATTATTAACGTTGAAATAAGTCTTTAGTAATACTTTGCAGATAAATGTTGGGTATTTTTTTTTTAAATTAAGCTAAGGCATATGAGAGCAAGAAAGAAATCATGTTTGTTATATTTGTATAGTTGTTAAATGCAAGTTGTTAATTACAGGGTTCATGTGGGACTAAGATAGAAGTGTAAATTAATGGGGTGAAAAAGAAAAAAAGTAACCGTAGAGTTATTTAAAATAGATATCAATAATAATAATAATAATATCAATAATAATAAGAGTAACAATAAACTAGTAATAATAACAAGAACAGCAACAATATAATGAGGGTTGGTTCGAAAATAATTAGTGAATGAATTGAACATAATTACCACCGTTTGAGCATTAATTAATACAACAAAAGTTTTAGTCGCTTAATTAGTTCAAGATTTCAAGTCCCAACAAACCCAAACAACCATCAAATCAACTTATACATATCATTCCTAAATATATTCAATGATGTACCTATAATTTCAGCTGTTTTTTGGTGCAACGTTATGCTCTCACCCGACGAACAAAAATAATGCAGAAGTCAATAATCAAGACAAAGAGGATATTTTCTTCTTCTTGATCACAAAATGAATTTATCAAAATGTTAATTAATCATTTGCCATAATTCTTGACATAAATCGATCTAATGGTCAAACAAATGGTTTAACCTCTACTATATATACTCCCTCCGTTTCTGAAACAAGTTCCACCTTTCTTTTCGGGCAGATTCAAAATTAAGTTCCACTTTCAAACATTTCTTCATTTGACAAATTATCTACATCAAAACAGTGTCAAACAGTGTCAAACAATGTTCAAACAGTGTCAAACAATGTTCAAACAGTGCCAAACAGTGCACTCCACAGTAAAGTTAAATTTATTTTCTTAATATGTGTAAAGTCAAATGTGGATCTTGTTTGTGAATCGGAGCGAGTATATATCTACCAATTATAGTGGAGGAATAATTGGACACTTTGTTAAATTTCTCCATTTCAACACTCTCTTGTCAAATTAAAACACTAATTATTTTAGATATATATATATATATATATATATATATATATATATATATATATATATATATATATATATATATATATATATATATATATATATATATATATATATATATATATATAGGAATCATACATATCCACATCCAACTAACTCCTCTAAATAGTTCCCTCCCTCCAAAGACAGTTCCCTCCCTCCAAAGACAGGCTTTGTAATATTGTGTTTTTAGCATGGGTATCAGAAATGGGGTTCTAATTACTTTTTTGTATCAAGTAGTTAGTACTTTTAATCAACTAATGTGATCTAGCCGGTTGGACTTTAGCTTAAATATGCAAAACCACTATTCTCTTTTCTTGAAGTAGCTAACCAGTAGACACACTTGACAAACAATAAAAAGGTAAAACAAAGAAAAGCTAACCTTTGGAGCACATACACACTTATAAAGCGCTCACGCCCAATCAGCATATTGTCCATTAGTGTAAAAGAAATTTTATAACTATGACTTAAGATAATATACAGGATTGTGCTAATATGATATGATTACTAATACTTATGTGACTCATACTTCCTTCAAATAAGACTACAACTATTCGTATAATTAGCTTCTTTATGTTTGACTAAATATGTACTATTATAGAAATAAAAAAAACACATTAATCTTACTTAGAAAAAGTAGATATATTTTAGTCTTATTTGAAATAATTAATATCTCATCACTCCCAGTCTCCCACAACTAACTTTCCTAAGTCAAACTTTAATAACTTTAACCGATAAACTTGATTTACATTATGAAGTAATTTATAATTTCAAAACAACTATTCATGAAAACATACTTGAAACATTATTTATTACTCCGTATAATTAATTAATTAGAACAAATATATCACTTTAAATAGTAATGGTAAAAAAATGAGCGGAAGCATGAATTTAAATTGGAGCGAATTAAAAAGTGATTATACTTGTACTTGATTTAAAATAATAGAGAGTTGGACTAAATAAGAAAAAAGAAAAAAAATTAATTAGGAGTGCTAAAAAAATTAACATGTTGTGAGCTTCATCGCACCATAGCCTAACATGGATCCTCTCCAAAGTCAAATTAAGAAGCTAAGGCGGAAGAGAGCTAGTATTTCTAATTCATTCTTATTGTGTTGTCAAAACATATTGATTGTATTATTGTACTAAAATAATGAATTGTACAATCAATTATATCAAAATTTGGTACATATACCCCCACATATGTGTGTTTATATATGGAACTTTATAATTTTCAGATAGATGAGAATATTTGAACTTGCAAATTGGAAGTATAAAACAATATATACATATACCTCTTGGAGCATTTGAAGAAGCTTAGTTTTGGTTTTGTGCAATTCAACAAGGTCAACGGAGTCAAACGAAGGGTTTCTGTCGGAAGAACGAGCAGCGCGAGATTCGTGGGCGGTGGTCGTACAGCCGTCGTCCTCCCATTGGCGGTGGTGGTTGGTCTTCTTCTTCATCCTTAAATGAGTATTAAGGTTGCTGCTTTCGGAAGTCCCAAGGCTGCAGAATTCATTTAAGAGCTCCTGAGCAGCGCCCAGATACTTTGAGTTTCTGATCTGCAGAAAATACCCACTACCCTCCCCTGACGATGATGGGATTGATGGACGGTTCAGATTCGCCGCGGGCTTCCCCAAGAACTCTGTCCCCAGCCCCACAGGATGGGGGTTTGCCCTTAGTTCGAAGGACTGTAACCCAATAGCAGAAGGGTTTGAGGAGCTGAGGGAGAGTGAGAGCCCTTGACTTGGTCTCTCGTTCCCTTCACATGGGAACACGCACCTCAGAGACGACGACGTTTCCGCATCGTGCTGCGGGTCAACCCATGTGCTGTAATCTTGACTGTGATAGAACTGGTCGCCGCCGGCGGGTATTCCGGGAGTCTTGGAAGAACCCCCCGCCTTGTTCAAGAACCCCTTCCACCCCATCATCTCCATCCCTGTATTATAGCAGATCTCTGGATGTTCTTGATCATGATGATGATTGTTCTGTTCATAGCAGCTTTGCTGTGGCATGTGCAGATTCATCATGTTTCCTGAAGAAGGATCGGAGTACCAATATCCTGTCGTTGTGACCATCGTCGGCGGCGGCGGCGGCCGCCGTGGTTTCTCTTCCCCTTGCCCGGCCATACAAAAAGACATAGTCTTGTGTTTATATATAGAGGAACTGATGAATCGAAGCTTATCTAGCTAGCTTCTATGATTATTTATTTATTATTCTCTCTGCTTTTCTTGGTCTGGAACTAGGCGTCCGTACGAGAAAGACTTGACTTCTTCATACAAAAAGGAATTAATTAAGATAACATCAATCAAGAATCGATATTACCTTTTTCTGCACAAAAAGACCCAATCTTTATTCACTTTGGTGTTTACCCGGACCTTGTTTTTTCTTCTTCTTTCTGAAACCTGGCTTTTCTGTTAATAACCCAACAAGAAAGAGTGTTTTATCAAGACCAAGATATATAGGGGAGCTAATAAGGAGGCTAAGGGCACGGACAGTTTAATTTCTTGTATCACGCAGACAGAAAATCAGGTGTGGATGATGTTTGGATGTTATGGGGAAGGGGTGGAAGAAGGTAAGAGAGAGGTGACTGGTGAGGGGTGGGGAAGGGATGATGATGATGACCTCTAACTTAGCCATGTTATTTTGATATTCTCTCTCATTCTCGGTGGGTGTGGTTGTGTTAGCTCTCTAGCTAGCTAGCGGGTCAATCCTATATATATGGTGCCTCCCATATGCTCCCTCCCTCCCGAAATTATATTCATTCATTCCTTTTCGGTCCGTCCCAAATTTATCTTCTTTTTTTTTTGGCAAAGAATTTGTAGTTCACAACCATTCTTACACATTTCTCTTTCCTCTGCACAACTCTACACCACACATTTCCCACTATCTTAAAACGCGTGCCCAATCAAATAAGGAGATAATTCTGGGACGGAGGTAGTAATTAACTTCTAAGATGGACCTTTATGGTAAACTTTGAGTTATACTCTCTCCCTCACATAAAATTCTTCAAGTTTCATTTTTAGGTCTTCCCAAAAAATTCTTCCAACTTTCTCTTTTTAGATGATTTGTGTGCCTCACATTCATTTCACCTTTTATTTATACAACTATAATCATACATTTTCACTTTATTCCACATCTTTAATATACGTGTCAAGTCAAAGTTGGAAGAATTTATTAGGACGGAGTGAGCATATGGAAATAATGAACGAGAAGTTGTCATTAGGGAGAGCTCTAGAGCTTCAATTCTAAGTAAAATTTTAGGTTGAAATTCTGCTCTCTTTCTATTTGTGTATGATCAGAGCTCGCTTTAAATTCTCCTAAACAACTTGATGGTCGTTCGGGAAGGTCTATCTGTTCTATATCGTATAACTAGTTGTACTGTGAACATCGTATAACCGGTGTCATTTTCGTAATTTATGTGAAATTCACAGCTTTTGATAAATGAACATTAAAGCACTTTTAGTGATCTGAGCATCAAATTTATTCTGTTCAGTATTACGAGGTTAATAATGAGTATCAAGATCTCTGCTCAATCTTGTAATTAACTTTCCTTTTCTTATTTTTTAAAAATATATACAATGAACTCCTATGAGTCCAATATGTGAATCTAATGTAATATAATATCAATATAAAATGAGCATACATAGCTTACGAAATGAGCATCAAAATTTCAAAAATCTCATTTTAAATATCTAGTTTGCTCAAATTTTCATTTGTCTATGCTCATATCAGTATAACGTAAAGATCAAGGTATTGAGAAATGAAATTGCACTTAGCGGTAGGCTCAAAATTTCATTTGTGTAGTTGAATTCTCTAGTATGCTCAAATTTTCATTTGTGCATGATCATTTGAATTCTCCAATGTGCTCAAATATTCTTTTTTTAACCCGAGAGGCCAACCACCAAAATCAGTTGGACAAATGCCGGTGAACATTTGCCACGTTTTATTGAGAATAATAAAAAGTACAAAAGAAAGAGGGGCTAGGCCAATACCTTTCTAGAAGAAGCATACTTCTTCGAAATACAAGTCACGAAAGAAAGTAATATAGAAACTGCAATATAATTGGGGGGGGGGGGGGGGAGGCTATACCTGGCCCAATTGAAAAGTACAAACCAAATAAAGTCTACCATCTAATAGAAGGAATGCTAAATTTATCCATATAAAAAGCTCTCCTGGCCCGGATCGGAAGCCCAGAAGGACTTAGAAACTTTTTAATTGGGCCCATATGATCCTAGGCCAAAAAATGCGCAGTCCAATTGCCTTCTCGCATAACATGTCCGAGCTTCAAGTTATTCCTCAACATATCCAGTCTGGTTTCTTGAATTAGGTCAGACCATCGCCTTGCCTCTCCTTCGCAAATCATGGCCAAGGTCAAGCTGGAGTCGGATTCCACCTGAAATCCAACAAATCCATCCTCCACCGCTCTGCGTATGCCCTCAATCATCGCCTTAAGTTTAGCTTCAACCGGCGAGGATGCAACAATCGAAAAGCTAACTGCCCAAATCAACTCACCGAATGAGTTTCGAAGCACAGCACCTGCAGAAGCATCATCAGATAAGTATTTTGCATCCACATTCATTTTAAGATGAGTATTGGGTTTTCTCCAACGAATAATCTGAATGGAATCACCTCTAGCTGTGAAATTTGGCGAGATAAGTTGCTCCTCCTTTAATTTTTTTTGGATGAACTGTAAGTATATATAAAGGAATCATCCAAAGAGTTTTAGTTGTACATCAAAAAGGAGCAAAATTTGAGGTTATCCAAAGGTTGGATAACCCATCACCTCCAAAACATAATCTGCTAATCAAGTAACCTAAGCTACTTCACGGCCAATCACAAGCAAAAATAAGGTGATGGGATAATAGTTATCAAAACACCACCATATTATGGGGGTAAATACTATATAGGATCTTGTACACTATGTACTTGATCCTTGCAAAAACATCTTCTTCTTTTGGGAGTAGTCCATCAAATCTTGTTGCATTTCTGACCCTCCAGATCCAATAGACCGTGAAACAAAACGCAATCCTTGCAGCTTTAGCTTGGACAGTAGCACCACTTCTTTCTTTCTTTATCCACTTGACCGAGCTAGTAAGGCAGCCCATGTGCCTTGGAAAAGTTGCTCCTCCTTTAAGATGCTATTCAACGTGTTGTTTTTCATTTTGGGAAAAGACCAAGCCCAATCTCTAGTGTAGGTTTGAATTTGAGCGATAATAGCATTTACAATGTGCTCAAATATTCATTTATGTATGTTCAATTCTTTTAACCGTTATGCTTTTTTATTATAAACACCACTCATTTTTAATATAACACAAAACTTATGGATCTTAATAAGTGTGGGTGAGGGGGCACATTAGGCAGCCAGACACACGTAAAACAACGTATAACTTAGGTTTCTCCGCCATTACCGTCGGAGAAGAGATTTGACGTCTCCACCACTTGAGTTGGGTTGAGTTCTCGTGAGCTGGGCCGAATAATAATAATAAAAATACTCAGTTATACAGTTAGCATTGTACAATCGGGTGTATGTTATAATTTGTCAAGCCTTCAAGGATGATTACTCATCTTCTCTTCTACCGGCTTTAAACTCTTGAGAAGGTGGTTTGAAATACGTTATGTAACAACCAAGACGAAGAGGAGTTGGTTACAATAAATATCTATGAATAACATAAAAGTTATTTATAAAAAATGTGACCTCTTAAATGTAATGAGTAATGACTACAATGGTAAATTTAGTCATAGTAACTTATGTTCAATCCTTACACTTAAGTGACCGTAACACTATACATAATAATACATTTTTAGTCATATTTTTGTAAATAAAATATATATCAGTAATATATTTGAAAAGACTCCTTTATATACCCATTACGATTTAAAATTACAACTTACAACATTTATAATACACAGTAGATTAATATTGCTAAAATTCCCAAAATAGGAGTAGAAGGGTTTCATACTTTCAAAGATGAAGTCGTGTAAAAGAAAATGTAGCTTATTGATATGAGTGATACTTTTAATACTTTTGATACCTTGTTGAGTATTACATGTATAATATGTCACGCCCCGAGCCTTCCCGAACGCACTGACAACCGCCATACAACCCAAATAAATCAATCGCGGTCAAGCTAACCCGAATCATACAAGGCGTCATGAATATCATTCACACATATATATCATCCATAAAGAATCATAAGTAAAACAAATCAAGTACGCTACGGAAAACAATGTACTTGAGAAATCAAAAGTCACACAGGGCAATTCAAATACGAGCACGCAGGCCCCAAATAATTTAAGTCTAATAGTATCCATGATCATATTTATTTATTATTTTGAAAATAGAATGGAGGACACGAACCACATCTTCTCTTCAAAAATTCCTGAAACAACGGGCACAAGAAGCAAACTCTAGCTTCTTCCTGCTAAAGGGAAAAAAAGATGCTTCAACCCTAATAGCTGAACAATTTTATCAATTCTATGAAATTGAAATCTAAGAATTGAACTTATTGTTATATACTATAAAGTACAAACTTAATACTATGAAATTGAAGCTTAGGAATTCTGAACATTTACAATCTTAATGTACTTTTCTTGGGAAAGAGAAAAAAGAATGATTCAAAAATCTTCGCACCATACATGCTGTTTTCCTAAAACCTACAATGCATGTTTCACTTGGAATACAAATATGATATATTGAAGTTTAAAACCTATTCAACATCCTAATAAACGACAAAAAAAATAAATAGGTGCTTCAATAACTGTTAAAGTCTACATTTTGCTTTCTTTCAGACTATACCCTCTGTTTTTACTCTGAGAGGAAGGGAAATAACAGTTATCAGAATGTATTCTGCATTCTCCTAAATGTATTCTATTTTCAAGCATAGTTACATTCTACCATGTAATTTGTAGTAAAGAGTAATCGAAACCAAAACATGTTTATTTATTCATTGAACTTGAAGCCTAAGAGTCCAACCTATTCTAGTAACTTGTTATAGTAAACTACAACCTACTCAACAGCCTGTTATTAAAAGTACTACACAACCTATTTACCTAAAATACAAATAACCTATTTTGATAACTTGAAAGTAACAATTAGAAGTTGCAATGTAGGTTTTGTGGAGTAGAGAAATTCAAGTCTAATAATTTTATTAAATCTTTAAAACTGAACTCTAAGAGTTTAGCATGTTATAGTAAAATGTATCAGACAATTATATACCCCAAGTATTTTAAATCATGATCACTACATTGTTTAAAACTGCTAAAATAGGCACTTCATCCATTGATCCACTCAACATACTGTTTTCGTTCAAAATACACTATGTGTTTCTACTGAGATTAGATATGGAAATAACAGTTGTAAGGGAAACACACTAACCTATTATCTACATGCATGTATACTTTATAAAGTTCAAAATTGAAACTCAAACTGTTAACTTGAACTGGTAAAATGCATATGTGAATTACATATGCTGCTTAGCATATATCATGTCCAAATCACACAGTTTTTTTAGTTCTTACTAACCACATATATACTAACCTATGTTTGCATGTTTGAATTTGACATCACATGTATATGACTGAATACAAACATGTGTATCTTTACCAAGATATTCAGTGCTATTTCTCATACCACACAGAATGGTAGATTTTGTCAATTTCCTCATCATTTAGTTCCTGAACCTTTTTAGTACTTCGCAAACCCCAAATGCAAAGATTCATTCGTAATCATATGGAATCTTTGCGAATGAATTACTTGCAAATGATTACAAGTAAAATCTGCCTTACGAAACTCTCTTTGCGAATGAATTTTTGCGAATGAATTTTTGTTAATTCCTGTACCTTACTAAAATTTGCATTTGGGTTTCGCATTTCCGTCCCAACAAAAATCGTCATATTTACTTTTCTTAATCAATGATGACAAACTTTGGAAAATGATTTTAATTATTATATTTTTATATAATTTATAAATTTTATACTTTAATGAAAATATTTTGAATAAGGAACATTTTGATATAATTTTCAAATTCTAAATAATTTTGTATTAAAAAAATATAATTGGTCAAAGTCGATTGCCATTGACCAAGACAAGTCAATTTGGCGAACCTTTTTGGGATGGAGGGAGTACTATTTAACTATATTAATCATAAGCAGTTGATTCATAAATTATCAAAGTTGAATGATTGATTTTAAATAATTGTATAGAAATTTTTAACTTTTAGATTAGGCCAAGTGATTAATTTTTATTATTAATCTTAAAATAAAAATTTTGATCATAAAAACTTCAATTGCACCTATTAGTGATATTCAGACAATCTACCTAATCTATCTAAACATAGTAAATGAATTGAATTTGAACTCAATATCCAAAAAATACATGAATACACATCAATATCCAAGAAGTACGTCAATTTCAAACTTGTTCTTTTAGTTATCACATGAATACAACTGGAACTGTAATCCTACCATGTGTGGGACGTTATTCTAGCCCTACATTTACAAAAAACACTAACAAATCATTCAAACATCAATAAGAACTTGATGTTTCCATTTTTTTTATTTTTTATTTACTTCAGGGGTAAAAAAACGTTGCTCATTATACAACAAAATCTAAGTCAACATAGAAAATTTGATAACTTGAATACGAAGCTATAGTTCCTGTACAGAGTAAAAACACAAACTACATTTAAATATATAGTCATACAACAAAAAGATGAATAACCACAAAACAATAAAATCAACTTGTTATACATACATGAAAAGGTTAAAACTAGATGAACTTCAATTCAAAGATAACAATGAACTTAACAGTTTCATGAATAAATATAAACCACTTTTTTTGCAGTCCGGATTTGGCTTGCCCTGCCTCTCGCTTTCCCAGTATGCCAGACGTTATCTCTGGCACCATGAGAGTAATACAGACGGTTGTGGTGGTTTTGCCGTTCAGTTTTTGACTCCTGGGAGTGTAGAGTAGAGCTGGGAGGAAAATCCTCCATGTCTAAGAAGAAAAAGTGATTAGTATTACCTTCTAACCTGTCTTTGTCGCGGTAGAGCTTCGTGGTTAGCTGATTGAGAATATGAGCCTGATTGGGAATGGAACGCCGTCGTTTGTGGCGTACAATGCTCCAAGAAGCTTCTAGATCCTCTACGATGACCCTGGTGGCAGCAGTTGTTCGTTCTTGCTGATGGTAAAGCAACTTGCCCCAAGTAAACAAAATAACAGAGTTGCCCACAAAAACAATTGTTCCAGTCAATCTACCAAACATTTCAACAAAACATGATAATATCCTTCATCCACAACAATGTTTTCCAATCTTTTTATGTTTGAAGGTCCTAAAACTGAAAGTTCTCCCATTAGACAACGTCTAATAGTCTCCCCTTCAACTGCATTGACATTCCTTTGGCTTGAATTTGGAGGAGGGTTGTTAACCTCCTGCTCGGTAGAACCAATCTGGTAAAGCAAAAAGAGTTATTGATTCTCTTAAATGTTTAAAAGAATGAATAAGAAAAATACACTTCATATCATTATACCGCTTCATTTGCATACAGTTCCTTGCGAAGCTCATCAAACTCATCCATTTCCTGAAAATAAATGAACAAAACAGTAAACTGAGACCTTTAAAATTACAATCAACAATAATATACTAAGTAAACAATAATATACCTCCTGCGAAACATCCTTTGAAGAATATTGAGCCAAAACATCTTTTTCATCATTAATCTCAATCACATTGAACGACTTCTTTCCCTTATAAACATTCACATCCTTCTTCGTATGAACCCTAAACAAAAATAATTTGCCTAGCAAATCTTCAATAACTTAAGTGTAGATAACATGATCACCAACGCCAGCATTCTGAAAAAATACCTTTTTAATGATTACAAATTTTCTTGTAAAACAGAAAAGTTGAAGTGTTCAAAGAAAATACTTTATCTTCATATTGACTTCATCCCGAAGAGCAGAAGCAGTCTTCCCTATCAGCCTATTACAGTGCTTATCCCACAATACAAATGTGGTTTAAGCAGTAACATCCATCACACGGACATTGAGCTTATACCTAAACAACAAATAGTTAGTGAATGAATATTACATCAAAACCATCACACCATCACTAAGCTTGGACCTTAAAAATAAATAGCCATTGAATAATTGAAATTATAACCTATTTTACTTGCAAACATACCTAAGTACAACCTCATTACAATTACATGAGGCACTCACAAAACAATCTTTACTCGAATGCAGAAGCCTTTCTATGGCAAGCAAGTCTTGCATGAAATGTAACACCATTCATTGTTTTCTATCCCAACAATCTTAACAAGAATCCAATGCCTCCCATTCTAAATTAACATAAGAAACAGAAATTTTAGGAAACACAAAAACAAACAATTCATTACCTCTTCAATGCTCAGCAAATCATGAACCACCGTCAACTGAACACTTCCACTGGAAATATCACATAAAAGGTGGTATGAGATGACATAGTCAATGTGAGAGTGCCCTCATCTTCACGCAGTGGCAACCTACAAACAATAGAAACCCCCAAATATAATGAAATAATCTGATTATTAAACATCGCATTTAATAATAGAGCAAGGACATAACACACCTCGCCCTAAAAGAAACAATATCTTCACTGTTACCATTCAACACCAATTTGGTGACATTGTGGACATTGTGAGCATAAGCACGACCTGCAAAATACTCACAACATAAGTATAAATGATATACATGACATTCCTTAAAGTGAAAGTAAAAAAGAAAAAAAATTCAAACGTCTCATCGAACCTTCGTATTTCTTACAAGGACACATCTAAAGAACCATGATAATAATCTCTTCATTTTCTTTCTCATAATCCGAATAGCGATCAATCAAATCCCCCCACAATGTAGCAGTAATACAATTGTGACTGCAAGAAAAATCAAACCAAATCTGAATTAACATGTTTTCTTAAACCACGTACATTAACACCAACAGAAAAGAAAATAACAAAAACCTTACATCTCATCATACAATGGAATTTCCATCAACCTCCTCCCACCTATGTATTTGACAACACCTTTACTCCAACCTTCCCAATAACATCTAATAGAACAACTTCAGACATCAGAAATGTATAACGCAACAATCAATTAGAAAACAAAAATTAAACATATCAATCCAAAAGCAATATTTTCATTAAGAACTTCCTGCCCTTGCAGAAAGGCAAAGATAGAAAAATCATAAATTCTAGCCGGGAACACATCCTTAGGAATTTCAAATGCCGCAGTCTTGAATAAAAACTTCCACTTCAAAGGATTAGATGTAGTCTTGAATGCCATATAGTTTTCCTGGACCCAAAAGTTTTTAATGGCAAAGAAATGTCCTTCGGCAAAAAGGTATGAATCTTAGGAATTAGATTCTTTTCAGTGTGAGTATGCACCCTAGTACCCTGAAAATCAAAACTGAAACTTATTGTAGTACTAATAAGCATAAATCTGCATGAAGATCATGCTTCAAACTAAATAAAACATTCAAAGAAAAACACATGTACTTTACCTCCTCATCCTGAAAGATGCACTCCATACACTCCTTGTATCTATCATTCACAAGTACCTTGTACACACGAATGGCATGAACCTTCACTGCTCATGTTGATTTAGTTGGAGTGATGTCCCTAATTAAATCCACATTCCAACCATTCTTTCATTCTTGCAAAATAACTATGAAAGCAAGCGCAGTTCGTTGAGAACACATGTTGGATTACCTTGTTATATATACAACTTCACATGTTGGAATACGGAAAGCCAACAACATGCAACTCGTAGAACAAAGAAGGTGCCAAAAGTTAGAATACCAAGAGCCTAAAATGAATACGAACAGAAAACAACTTCGTTTGATGCACATAAAAAATTAAATACCCACATATTCATTACGCATTCGTGCCACAAAAATGCAATTACAGCCTTGTCTAGAAGTTTCCATCATACACATAGCACTCTAACACTTGCCCATGCAATCTTATTGACAACTTGTGCCCCAAGAAACCTTTTGTTATTATATATAGATAGATTAGAATCATTTCAGATATACCAATGATTTGATCAGTCAAGGTTCACCCATATGTATTATTGCATTAGAACCTTCTAAAGCTTTCTTACTAAGACCATCATTCAATTCCTTTAAGAAATATTAGACATATGCACAATTTAAGGGTGTATAAAATGTTTAGAGATCCTTTGTGCCCCACACTATATTTTTTGAATGTTTCATTGAATAAAAACTCCACAAGATATCACATAATTTATAGGATTTAGAATGATTCCTAAGAGAAAATTAACCGCTTCTCTCAATTTTTAGTTGTTTTAGGAATTAAGAAATAGAAACAAATAAATAATGGGGCCTATATAAATGGGGAATTTCGCCTAACTTTAACCCCATAGTTGATGATAGCACTAAATTTCATCTTTTTTCCTTTCCTACTGTGAGTCTATATCCTTGATTTTCAATTCTATCAATTTATAATTCTGGTCTTCCTCCCCTATATGATATTATTGTGCAGGTACAAATTGAAATTTCATTACTGTCCCATTCTGACCATTAACAAATGCCCGAGTTTTGCAGTATTTGATTTATCACAATCCTATAGATTCCATTTACTATAAATGCTTATAGTAAATTCATTACAGAAATGCTTCAAAGAAAAATGATATGCTCTTGCATACTTGTAAATTAATCCATAACTTTTCATAATTTCCTCGACTTAGTTTTTAGATATGCCCTCTTCAATTCAAATTCTACCAACTCTCTTGCTCTACTTCATCAAGACCATGAATATGAATAACGAAATCGCCTACTTGAATGATGGTATATGTATTGATAATCTTTATGTCTCTATTACATTTTCCAAAAATCTAGATGTATGGTCTCTTGCTCATACAGATAAGCTGAAAAAATAACGCTATCATGGACTCAAAAGAGAAAGATTTGAAAATAATGCCATAGATTAATATGAAAGTAAGTGTTCTAGATTATAATGGAGTATATTGTTATGTTTCCATAGGGGGCCAGACAAGACGATCCAAACCAGAATCCCTAGATGATCACTTAGCATTTAGCAGCACTCCATTATCAACATTAAATAAAATAAGGAATGTATTTAATACTCAAGAGACAGGGATTAAAGGAATAACTCGCTACATGCAAATCACAAGCTGCAATATAGTAAACCTTAGACAAAAGACTACCTAATTTACAAGGATAAATTTTAGATGATAGATTGGATTGATGGCCTCCTCCAAAGGGAAGAAAAGTGGTGGTTTAATAGAAGAAATGAGGTTCTAGACTCAAATATCAGACCTAGTATATATGACACCGACTTGCTATCCTTGGCATCAACAAAGAAGTTTTACAATTTGAGTCATATCCAACTGGATATGTTGATATGCCCTACCAGGTATAAGACGTACGAAATCAAAATTTACGGTGATTTTTTGTTCCTTCACGGCTTCTTTTGTTTGAGGTCAGAACATACCCCGCCGGGTTGTTGACTTTACCCGACCGGGTGTATATTCAAATCAGACTTTTCTTTTCTTTGTCTTCTTGGAAGCTTCATTTTATCTACAAGCTCCTTATGCTCCAAAGTAATTTCTTCTTACCTTTCCATCAGGTTTCTTACCTATATGTCAAATGCTCTTACTATCTTCTAAGTCTATTCTAATTTATACGATCAAGATTACATCATAATTGTACAAGAGCCGAGTAAGCACAATGTAAAAATATTCTAAAATGTGGTGTTTATGCACTACCGAATAACACATACCAGTGATGTTTTGCTTTTCTGTTTTTTTTTTTCAAATTTTGTGATAGATACTCCATCTATCCCATAAAAATGTTCCCACTTTATTTTTTTGGGCATTTCATATAAACGTTCTCATTTCATTTTAGAAAATAATTAAGAACCTTAAATGACAAATTAATCATTAAATATTAAAAATATTACTGATAGAGTATATATATAGACTCGGACCCCCGAGTCTCCCAACTATTGGGCTTGGACAGCGGCTCACACACGCTTACCGGATGCCATTTGTATTATTGTATAGTTCATAAATCATTTGTATGTAATAGGTTAGTCTTTTATGCAGTTGGGCCCATGTTAGCGGCCCATCCCATTATTTCTCTATATATACTCCTCTTGGAGCTCTTGTAAACCCTAATTCCTTACTCAATACACTTTTATACTATTTTATTCATCATCTTCTTCTCCACAGTCTAGCTCATTCTCTCCTAATAATTGTATAGTTTGGATACCCTATTATCCATCAAATACATTTATAACATCACATTAACCAACACAAACACATTATATTATATACATATTAAAATTATTTCTCAAAATATACTCGAACTATCTTATATAATTATTGTCAAAATAATTGTGCCATTTTTCAATGAAAACCTTTCAACGGGAGGAAAGTGGTATTAAAAATGGAGTGAACTATGTAGTGGTTTTTTTGCAAAACACAAACATAATTGTATCTATAAATATGCAAAGTTAAACAAATCACAAAAGTAAAAATATCACATAGAGTAAGTACATTGAAGTGCAATTTGCAAGTATGCAACCACATATATATGATGGAACAAATAACCACTAGAATTATAAAATTGGGAAACTATGAGTATTTACTCTCAATTATGAAAAATATTGTCATATTTAAAGTTTGTTAATGCCAAAACGTGATAGTAATTACTTCTATTTAAGGAATAAAACATGACATGTCTGTTTTGAAATTTCAAAACATTTTTACTCCTATTTAGGTCAATTTCTTTATAAAATTTCAATACATTAATTCTAAGTAATCTATAATAATGATTTGTTATTGAACACCCTACTAATTTAAAGCGGGCCAGAGTCTATAACCAAATTCATGCTATTATAATTGGGGAAATTGCCCTAAACAAGACCAAAAAACTGTTTGTATATTCCAAAATATGACTATCATGTTTTTATTCTTAAAATAGGGCTAATTACTGTTATATTTCGGGAGTACTAAACTTTAAACATGAGAGTATTTTCCAAACTCGGCAGTAATTACTCATTTTGGGAATAAAAACATGGCAATCCATGATGAGCAGTAATTGATGAGCCTTGCTTCCAAATGTTACTGTAGTCGTCTCGGGGTGGAGCCACAGAGGTCGTAGGGGCCATTGTTAGGCCCCTGCCCATCCTGAATTTCAATGAAGTTCATAATTTATACTCTCTCCGTTACTTAAAATTTTGCCAACTTTTCTTTTTTGATTGTCCCAACTTTGTCACTTTCCCTTTTAAGTAATGAATTTGTGATTCGAGTTAATTATCTCTCCTCTGCACAAACCTCAAGCAGACAGTTTTTAATTTATTAACTCTCATGTTGGTCAAACTTGGCAAAGTTTTAAGGGATGAAATGATTATATAAAAAATAATGTGTATAGTATAATTTGTGTGGAAAAACACTTTATACCAAGTCGGTTCAATTTATGCTCCTGCTCCGTAAGCCCCTATATATGGTCCTTAATGGTACCATGGACTCTGACCATGGTCCATTTACGGAATCACAGATCCAGCCCATAACGGGATCAAGTCCTTAACGGGATCAAGCCCTTAACGGGATCAAACCCTTAACGGGATTAGTCTACTTAACAGGATTAGCCCATAAACGGGATCAAGCCCTGATCGGGATTCATATTGAATAAGCCGCTAGGCCCAATTAGGAATCAGGACCACGGTTGGAACCCACATCCAGGCCGGGCTGGACAACAGACCTCGAGCCTAAGCGAAGTTCTAGTGAGGTTGGGATATTTTTAGGGTCTACGTGGCAGGCTATTATTTGAGCATAGCTATTTGGCAGCAAGCAGGACGGAAGAGGAGAACGTAGACTTGAAGGAGAGAATCATTGCACAGTGCCAAGGCGCTGCAACAGTTCTATTCGAACTAATATGTAATAAATAGCATTTATTATAGCAGTTTCCTCCTAAAATACTAACTCCTAAACTCTATAAATATTCCTTGTAAATACTCTGTGAGAGGATCAGTCAATCGTCCTTCCGAATAATAATAATATTGTCTTACTTACGCTGTCATACTTTGAGATCTTTAGTAGATTTAGCTCTCGTAGTTGGATTAAACTCCATCCATCCTAAACCACAAACTCAATTAATTACTTTGCACTATATTGCATGCATATACTACGAGCTGACCTACTTAAGCTTACATCTCGTTGGCATTAGTGTATACGGAGCAAAACATAGTAATAACAAACCTTAGAAGCCTACAAGGCTAGAACTTACAATACGGGGTCATTCCAATTTGGATTTCATAAATTCATCATAATTTATGGCTTGAATCGATAGTTATCTATCTCTATCAAGTTGATATTTTTCTTTGTCTAATCTCATTCTTAAAAAGTAAGTCAATTATGTCATTAGAATTGTCAGGCCCGGCCCAACCCAGGTGCAACTGGAGCAGCTGCACAGGGCCTCCAATTTTGGAGGGCCCCCAATTTTTTGAAGTGTAGTAGTATATCTAGGCTAGGCCCATTAGTAAAGAGTAATAATTCGAAAAAAGGTCCGATCCAATAAAAAGCTTTAAGCCGTCCGCGTTGCTCTTTACTTCCCTAACGGCGTAACTGTCTTCAATTCTTCATCCACGTGGAATGGCTAAATCGAAGCGACGAAGCATACTTTCGAAGACCAAGACTGCGATTGAGCGAAATCGAAGCGGCGAAACTACTAAAACGTCTGAGAGGTATGAAATTTAATCAATTTATTATTTTTACCGTTAGATTTTAATCTTAAATACCTTCTATTCTTCTCAAGTTGAGCGAATCGCCTAGTCCTGCTAATCTGCTAATCTGCTACCGAAAACGTCCTGCTCTCCTGCTATTCTTTATTCTCTTACAGTCTTACTCTCATACTCTGTGTCTGCTGGTCGCTGGGCAGCACTGCAGCAGGAAAGCTGAAGCAACCGAACTTGAGGAGTGAGGACTTGAGGGTGGGGCGGTGGGCATTGGCACACAATCTGTTTCAGGACTTCAATTCAGTCTTCAGGTGTTTTTGTTCCCATAATCCCATTCCTATTTCCTAGTTCATACTTTGTAATTGTTAATTTGGAATTTTGGAGTTAATTATTTCTTATGCATTGTTGATCAAGCAATAACATCACTTACCACAAGATTTGAACAATATCAACAATATGAGAATATTTTTGGGTTTTTATTTACCTCCAAAAGGTTGCGTTTATTAGATGATAACAATTTGAAATCTTGTTGTAGTTGTCTTGAAGCATCACTTAAAAAGGATGAACAATCAGATATTGATGGAAATGAATTATATGTAGAATTAAAGTTACTTAAAGACTTTTTGCCAATGGAGAATATGGGGCCTGTTGATATCTTGAAATTTTTAAAACGTCTTGATTGCTTTCCTAATGCGGTTATTGCATATAGAGTTCTGTTGACTATTCCCATTACTGTTGCAACTGCAGAGCGAAGCTTTTCAAAATTGAAGGCGTTAAAGACTTACATGCGGTCAACAATGACACAAGAAAGACTTAATGAATTGGCTTTAGTGGCAATTGAGAGCGACATATTGGAGAAGATTGCACATGAAGACCTTATCGATGACTTTATTTCAAAGAATCTTAGAAGGAAAGCATTATTTAAATAAATGTAGTTTAATTTCAAAATATTGGATGTGATTTTGATGCTCTTGGTGTATTAGTCAAAGAAGAATTGCATTTTAGTATGTAGTATAATTATAAAATATGATATTACTTTTTTATTTTATTATTAGTATTTTTTGTATTAAATATTAGGGCCTCCGATTTTTCTTTTGAACAGGACCTCTCATTTGTCAGGACCGGGCCTGAGAATTGTCATATTGATTGATATATGTTTCATACGGAGTAATAGCTATTATTTCAAGATAACAATGAATTACTCATATATACTTCTACTACGTATTAAGGAGATACATAAACTTCTATTGTAAAAATTCACATTGTTTTTATAACTCTTGTTTCACTTTCTAAAAAAGATGGTCGTCTAGAACCTAACAACGTTAATCGATTACAGAAGAACTATGTTAGGGCTATGGTGGACTGAAGATCATGATAATGTATTTTTTTCAACTTTTTTAGTGTAAATTTTTTATGTTTGGTATTTAACTCATCCGACTAATGTTACGTCTAGTATAACTACTCTGCGATACATTGCTACTCAGATTCTTACGTCCGCCTAGCTCTGCGCAAACGATATTGGAAATCTTTAGCCACATGCATAGCACTAGAAAAACCAGTTTCTCTATACTTCTCAAAAAAAGAAATTAGCCCTTTGACTTCAACAATAGCAACATCAAGAAGCATATCTTTTGCTTGTAGATTTTTGCTCACCAAATTAACAGCATATAATATTTCATACCAAATAACTGTAGCAAGCAAAAATTCAAAATTACAAAGATCATTTGTAGCTAAGGATCTAGCTTCACTTTGTATTTTAGAATCATTGTCTGTCTCGGCCAATTCTAGCAATGCTTCTCGAATGTCACTTATTTGAAATCTTATTGCTTTGACACTTTCCACACGACTTTCCCACCGAGTGGTTGATAAGGATTTTAGAGTCAATCCTTGAACATTGTTTTTTAAAATTTGCCGTCTTTTTGTAGAATTAGCAAAGAGTGTGTAGATTCGTTGCACTACTCCAAAAAAATCTCTTGCTTTTCGAGAACAATTAGCAATGTCACACAAGGTCAAATTAAGGCTATGACTACCGCAAGGAGTATAGAATGTCCTAGGATTTACATCCAAGAGTCTTTTTTGCACACCTTGATGCGTACCTCTCATGTTTGATCCATTATCATACCCTTGTCCTCTAACATTATCAATATCAAGATCAAGAGACTTTAACACACTTTGCAACACTTCAAAAAGGCCAAGTCCTGTCGTGTCATTCACAACCAAGAATTCCAAGAAAAATTCTTCTATTTTAATCGGATAAGAGGAGATATCAACACATCTTAATATCAAAGTCATTTGTTCTTGGTGACTCGAATCAGGAGTACAATCAAGTATGACAGAAAAATATTTAGATTCTTTGATTGTTTTAATGATCTTAGATTTTACTCCTGAAGCAAGCATCTCTATCAATTCATTTTGAATCTTGTGACTAAGATAATGATGATGAGTATCCTTATTGTCGACGCGACGAATAAGCTCTTGAATAACAGGATCAAATTCACCCAGCATCTCAATTAATCCTAAAAAATTCCCATTATGATTCTGATGGAGCCGCTCATTCGTTCCACGAAAGGCCAAATTATGCTTAGCAAGATATTTCACAGTTGCAATCACCCTAAACAACAATTGCCTCCAAAACTCTTTTTCTTTCAAAAGTTGATCATGAGCTACTTTATCAATTGTCTCATTTTTTTGTGATCGAAGTCTCAACTCTACCCAACTCCTCATGTTACCCATATGCTCCACACCTGTTTCATGTTCTCTCAGTCTAGCACTAAGATGTCCCCAATCATCAAAACCCGTGTTAGCTAAAGAACCTTTGCCTACACCTTTTCTAAAAATCTTACAACAGAAGCAAAATACCCTATCAAGCTCCTTTGAATAAACAAGCCAGTCTCTATCACATTTCTCTCCATTAGGCAAACTTCTAGTGTAAAAAGCTGATGAGAATCTTCTAGAGAATTTATCTTTAGGCCCTTCCACAAAATTTAAATCTCTTTTAGGACCATTCCCTACCAAGGTGTCTGTCAACTTTGAATCTAGAGCATCCCAGTTTCTTGG